AAAAGGTGTTTTATGTATATTCAAAAGTTCTGAGACCATATTGGATTCGATTATTATTGTGTTTCACTTTGCTTGTTTTGAATTCCCGGATAACTAGGTTATTTAAACTATCCTTAGTCGATCATACTTTGGAAGTAGGTATTGAAGCTAGACTATCATGAATGGGTCTGTAGATTGTCTAAAGGCGTTTAGACAAAACACAAGTTTGTTACAGTGTTCATGAGAACTTCTGGAATAAGATTTGAGTATTGAATTAAACCCATACTAATCTGAATCACTTCATAGATTTTATCACGAGTGATTGTGAGACGATAATATCTTATATTCTTGAAACCAACACATATGAGTTGTAGTTTGCAAGTCGGTTGCACAATGGCATATATAAACGCACCAATAATTTGGTGTTATAAAACATATTGTTGTGTGTGATTTGATGAGTAAGTACAAGCAAGCATTTGAGTTGAAGTTTATCCATTCCTTTTACCCAAAGTGGGATATTGAAGCTAGACTATCATGAATGGGTCTGTAGATTGTCTAAAGGCGTTTAGACAAAACACAAGTTTGTTACAGTGTTCATGAGAACTTCTGGAATAAGATTTGAGTATTGAATTAAACCCATACTAATCTGAATCACTTCATAGATTTTATCACGAGTGATTGTGAGACGATAATATCTTATATTCTTGAAACCAACACATATGAGTTGTAGTTTGCAAGTCGGTTGCACAATGGCATATATAAATGCACCAATAATTTGGTGTTATAAAACATATTGTTGTGTGTGATTTGATGAGTAAGTACAAGCAAGCATTTGAGTTGAAGTTTATCCATTCCTTTTACCCAAAGTGGGATAAAAGCAATATATGTGGGCCCCTCGATGATTTAGTGATGACAAACCTAAGTGCTTGGCCAAGCCTGGACTGATTTGATTTGTTCAATTAGTTGGTCGTCAAAAATCGGAAATCGAGAAAAAACAGATGGGCAGAGGGAATGATTATAATTCATGTCTCAGTCCATATGATATCTAGAATGGAGGAATATATGATCCCTTATCTAATAGACGGGCCATTGACTAGGTCAGAGTTCGACAGCGGCTTTTAAGAGCTATAATTGCTAGTCGGGTTATGGAGTCGTACTTGCAATAATAGTTATTAGACTTATCCAAGTGGAAGACTGATTGATTATGTGTCTAAGCCCATAACTATAATTGGTATGTACTTGACCTAGGAGTAGCATGGTCCATTTGGGTTGCATATCACCAAGACAATTTGATAGGATGGACTTTTGAAAAGACCTTAATTTATGATTTGTTAATATATTATCAAATATAATATATTAATATGAAATCATATGATTTAATTAGTATTGATCAATAATTAATTTGAATTAATTTTGTGATCAAAAGAGACTAACTAAATGTAAGGGGATTGATTTGGTAAATCATTCATTCTTATGGTGTGGGCCAATGATCTATGATTCTTTAGGTTGGGCTAAACCAATGTTACAACCCATGGATGATCCATGGGGGATTAAACCCATGGAGCCTAAAGAATATGGAAGGTCATACACATTAGGATCTACATGGTGTAACCCTAATCTTGACACACTATATAAGAAGCCCCTTAGCATCCAAAATGACACTAGTGATCCTTGGAGTTCCATGAGCCGATTTTGGTGCATGAAATACTCTCTCAAAAGTCTCATTTGTTCTAGTTGTGTTGTGATTCCATTTGAGGTGAAACACTTGGGGCACTAAGTTCTTAAAGGCCGAACTCAAGAAGTTCTACAAGCTACAACAAAGAGGTAATTTTATAACTCCTTTTTATGTTGATTATGTCATTTTCATGCTAGTTAAAGGCTTAATGCTTTGGAAACAATATTGCATGTCTAATTAGAGAAAACATAGATCCAAAACATTTAGGGTTGTATGTACACCATAGGATGTTGTAGTATACTAAAGCCCATCAATAATCATTATATACATATATGACTTTTTCTACTTTTAAATAAATTATATAAATTGTGAATATTGTGTAAATTAAACTTTAAAAGAAGCATTTGTCTTCGGATCTAAAAATATAAATTGAAGTTTTAAGTTAAGAATATGACGTTTAAGTATATTAAATTGTTAATTGATTATAATAAGCTGTGAATTTTATGTACTAAACGATAGACGACTATATTAATTTGTGTAAATTATTGTATCAATGTTTTTGTGAATATATTTATTTTTTTGTGTTATATAAGTATGTTATGCATTAATTTTTATAATTGTTTTGTATTAAATTAAAGCTAAGTGAATTAATGAATTTTGTGTTGACACATGTAATTGGTGGCGGCTTATGGTGGCGGCATGTGGTGGTGGTGGTGAAGGTAGAGTTTGAGTTTAAATTCTTTGAATTTCTGAAATAGTGTAAAAAAGATTGTATTAAGTTATGTATTTTTTGTATTAAACTATAAATGAATTGTATAAAGTTTTATTCTATATAAATTTTGTTAAAATATCGAATGAATGTACGAATGAAAATATTAAACTAAAAAATTACGATTTTACACTTTTCTTACCTAAAAGATAAAATATTAGGATTTTAACATATTTAGTAATATTCATATATATATATATATGGAAAATTGAATATACCCTTAAGGGTATATAAGCTTAGGTACCCAAATCCATTGTAATACATCGTTTTGTTTGATATATTCATTATAAAGTTTTTAAACTTTAATTTCTAACTTGATTTAATTTCAAGATTTTCAAATTTTCACTATTATCTTTCTTTTAAATCACATCTTTTTATCGAACACCTACTAGGCTATATATATATATATATATATATATATATATATATATATATATATATATATATATATATATTATAGTTGAAAATGAAAATTATGTACAGGAAGATAAGTGTGAAATTTATAAAAATCTTGGAAGTAAATCAAGTTAGAAGTCGAATTATAAGAATATTGGACAATTACAATTTTTATATATATATATATATATATATATATATATATATATATATATATATATATATATATATATATATATATATAGGGTAAAGTGAATATACCTAACAACCTTATATAAGCTTAGCTACCTAACTCCATAATACTACATCGGTTTGTATCATAATTACATTGTAATTGCCTAAGGTTCTTTAACTTCAACCCCATAACTTGATTACTTCCAAAATCTTTGGACTTTCACCAATATCTTTCTTTTACATCACGTCTTTCTATCGAATACCACCTGATGGACTTCATATCCTACCGCTACAAATGAAAAGATGTCGGAGAAATATAATGATAAATTTCCAACATTTTTTGAAGTAAATCAAGTTTAGGGATGAAGTTTAAGAACCTTGGATGATTGCAATGAAAATTTAATGCAAAATAATGTAGTTTGATGAGGTTAGGTATCTAAGCTTATATAAGGTTGTTAGGTATATTCACTTTACCCTATATATATATATATATATATATATATATATATATATATATATATATATATATATATATATATAGGGTAAAGTGAATATACCTAACAACCTTATATAAGCTTAGGTACCTAACCATATCACACTACATAATTTTGTATCATATTTGCATTGTAATAACCCAAAGTTCTTAAAATTCAACCTCATAACTTGATTGCTTCCAAAATCTTTGGATTTTCACAATTATCTTCCTTCAAATGACACCTTTCTACCAGAGACCCCCTGGTGGGTTTCATATACTACCGTTACAAATCAAATGGTGTAGGAGGAATATAATGGTGAATGTCTGAAAATCTTGGAAGTAAATCAAGTTAAGAGTTGAAGTTTAAGAACCTTAGACGATTGCAATGAAAATATAATGCAAAACAATGTAATATAATGTGGTTAGGTACCTAAGCTTATATAAGGTTGTTAGGTATATTCACTTTACCATATATATATATATATATATATATATATATATATATATATATATATATATATATATATATATATATATATATATATATATATAAGTCAAAACGACGTAGTATTGTGATTCAAAACGACGTAGTATATATGCTAAAACTCACAATACTACGTCGTTTTAAATCATATATATATATATATATATATATATATATATATATATATATATATATATGTTCAGGTTCATTTGAGACCATTCTAATTTTGTGAGACCGTGAGACCAAATTTAAAAATAATTTTAAAATGTAAAATAAATGGAAAAATCCAAAAATTCTTTTTTTAAATATTATTTTCGGAACTTGAATTAACTAAAAAAAATAAAAAATAAAATCCCGTTTTTGTTTTTTTTGAAAAATACGTGAAATATTCTAAATAGAATATTACACTGACATATTCTAAAAAATAATTTTAAAATGCAAAATAAATGGAAAACTCTAAAAATTCTTTTTTTAAAATATTATTTTCGAAACTTGAATTAACTAAAAAAATAAAAAAATCCTATTTTTTTTTAAAAATACGTGAAATATTCTAAATAGAATATTACACTATACATATTCTAAAAATAATTTTAAAATGCAAAATAAATGGAAAAATTCAAAAAAATCTTTTTTTAAATATTATTTTCGGAACTTGAATTAACTAAATAAAATATAAAAAAAATTTAAAAATAAAAAAATGTGTCTCACGGTCTCACAAAATTAGACCGTCTCACATGATACTAACCCTATATATATATATATATATATATATATATATATATATATATATATATATATATATATATATATATATATAAATGAGGTTTCTTAGGATTCTTAATTGTGGTTCTCATTTGAATCACTCCACACACACACACATACACACACACACACACACACACACACACAATATATATATATATATATATATATATATATATATATATAATTTGTTTTTAATTTTTTTGTTTTTGCCTTTAATCAAACCTTTTTAAACCTCGCAACCATTTAACCAAAATCATATCTTTCTACTACTTCATGTAGTTTTTTACTTTATTTTATTTTTTAAGGTATTTAAATTGTTTGATGTGTGTTTTTTAAATGATTTTTCACCCTCATCATCATCATCTATGTTATCATTTTCATCTTCCTCTTCGGCACATAATTTAGTCAAAAACTCATCACCATGTGTTTTGTTCATAATGATTATATCCTCATTAATGTACACCTCCACATCTCTAAGGTTATCAATTTCATCTTTATTTTCACCACCATCTTCTTCTTCTATGTCAGAACCAAACCAGTTCTCTATTCCTTGACCATCATGGTCCACATAGAGGAAAATTATACCATCAGTCTCATAAGCATCAAAAATGAAATAAGCGTAGTCTTCCTCATTAGCATTAGCAGTTATCCCAGATAATAAGGGCTTACTTGACTTATGGTAGTATAACTTCTCTATACTTTCTTGCATGAACCATTTGAGAAAGGTGATACACTCATAGGTCATTCCAGAAAAATCATAATCATTAAATGTGAATTTGATACCGTGGTTATAAGAGAAAGGATTTTGAAGAAAAAAACCTTTGAAGTTGAGTTCCACTACAGGATACAGTCCATCAGGGTTTGGCCTCAAGGTTGACACTAGTTTTTTTTTTTTCGTTCTTGGTCACTGTGAGTTGATAAAGAACGAAGAACGACTATAATGGTGTGTGATTTAATGTGATTGTTTTGACTTCATTTTTTTACGTGGAGTTAATAAGATAAATATCTAATTTAATGTAATGTCACATAAGGAATACAACCAGTAGTTCCGTTTGTCAAATGCATAATGGTGTAATTAGCTGTTATTTTCCAACGTTGATGACCAATTGAGCACAAAAAATACTTTAGTGACTAAACGTATAAAGTGGCCAAACTTTATTGTACTACAATACCAAAAACCCTATTTTTATCTGTGATGTTCTATGTTTTTGACTTTCGTTGTTTTTATTAATCTGGTACAGATTATGATATGGTTTATGATTTTCAACATAATGTTACTTGGGTTTTATGAAAAAACGGTTTTGGATGTTTTACTCTTTATTTGAAAATAAAATTTTGGTTTAAAATTTAGGATGTTACAAATAAAGATTCGTCATTGAGTAATATTCAACTTTTATCCATCCAAGCACGAAAATTGCTCCCTTTCACTTTTGCTTTGGTAAAATTGTCTTTTGTATGTTTCATGGTTTTGAGATTTGAAAAGTTAAACTTTTAAGTATTTAAGTTTATATTCCTATGTTAAGTCGGAAGCACTTCAGCACTTTTGCTTTGGTAAAATTGTCTTTTGTATGTTTCATGGTTTTGAGATTTGAAAAGTTAAACTTTTAAGTATTTAAGTTTATATTCCTATGTTAAGTCGGAAGCACTTCAGACCATATGATTGACAGATATACCGAAGGAACTTAACAAGCTCACAGGCTTGATGACTTCATACGATCTAACTTCATGCATCATACTTTTTGGAGGCTTCACAACTAAACTACAGCCCAACATTTTTGCATTCATGTATATTTTTCACATATTCAACTTTATAAATGTTGAAAGCGAAGTAGAAAAACATTGCAAAAGAAAGTGCGAAAATAAGTTGCGCAATAAGTTGTCAAAAAGCAAAAAGAGCGCATTTAGGATAGCTTTTATGTTCAGTCTGCATGTAATAAAATATATAAATTGGTACTTTAAAGTTTTATGAAATAATTGATTAGCCAAATTTGGTGTTAATCAAAAAAAATTTAGAACGGCGGGTTATAAAGCAAAAACTAGTTTCAGCTAATCTGCAGCCTAAATATAAAACCCTACACAAATTTACAAATACAAAATGAAAAGCATTGGAATAAAGATTTTCTGGGTTTTATTATTGGATTCGATAAAAAGATAAGGAGCATAAAAAGCAAGTATAAATACAACAAAAATTAGAGGGGAATCATCTAATATCCTGAGCTGAACCTATGGAATGAATTTGATATAAGTGGACACATATGATACATATCTCTATGTTATGTATTCCAACATAAACATAAACATATCTAACGGCGATGAGGGGGTCTTCTATTCAATGCTGAGAATTGGTTGCCTCCACCATGATGATGTCTTCCTCCTCCTCCTCTGTCGCCACCCTGATTCCCACGAGCGGCTGCCCATCCTGCAGTCTGATTGGCGGCACCACCATACCCACCACTGTTATTGTAACCCTGGTGTGGATAGTAATGAGTAACGGCATGTGGAGTTTGATGGGTGACACGTGGATCGTATTCGTATCCAGGGGTTTGATGATCTGAACCTCCTGACCTACTACTAGTGTAATTGGCATGGGCAGGCGAAGCATAAGGATGGGGTTGGGCATAGTTATGTGATTGTGGAGTAGGATGATAACCCGATTGCGACTGCACCATCCTACTTTGGTTGTGATGATAGGATGCTGGGGGTGGGAGTGGGAGTGGTGGTGGTGGTCTAACAGCATGGAAAGGGGGTGGGCGTGGGTCATATGGATGATGATAATGACTATTTCTTCTGTCTGTCTTTATTTGTAAGCTATTGTTCACAAGTCGATGTGCAGCATCTCCAAGCTGCCGCCCAGGATGGTGGTGCTGGTTATTATTATAATTATTATTATTATTATTGTAATTGTTGTTGTTGTTATGCTGCCTGTTCTGCCCATTCCTACATCAAAAGTAGAAAATCATTCTTTGAGGACTGGAACCTTCTCCTTCTCTTCTCTATCAAAAAATGGAATAAAAATTCCATTCCATGGTGTAGGTGTCGATGTGTTTGCTATTTTGTTGGTTTGAAAGATTTGAGGTAAGTTATAAGAAAGAACAGTAATATGGTACCTTCCGTTCTCCCAGGGCTTTCTTCCAGAATCTTCATGCCATAAAGCAGGCTCTGGTTGTAAATCATCCACTGTCACCGTCTGCACCACAAATTTATTTTTATTCCACCACAAATAAAAGATAAAAAAGAACAATTGGCATTGCTATATTTATTTCTTTCGCCTATAGAAAGACTAAAATTTAATGAATGATAACTTTTTAATAAATATTTTTATCGATTTAGATTATAATATTAGTTATATAAGTAATAAATACATTACATAGTTAGAAAAAACATTGGTGTCATTAATCAAGTATCAAAAGCTCAAGCTGAGTTGGGTTGGGTTGGGATTAAGAATTGTAAAAATATTTTATATTGGAATGTTGGGTTAAGTTGGGGATAAAACACATTCTGTGAATTTAGTATGACAAGACAATGAACGTTATAGCATGCATATAGGCTGTATATAGCAATTACCTTTTTTGGTGGTTTGACTCCTGCAGGTGGTCGAGATATATGGTTATGATATTCAGGCAGTCTGTATATAGCACATCTGAAATGCATGCAAGCAGACAGTAAAAATTAGATTAGTGAAACTGAACCCCTCCCCTCGGTTGGACAAACAAAGCTAACTTTCTTTCTAGGTCTATTTTTCTCTCGTGGATAACAAGGCTAAGGCTAAAAGCCATCCACCCCAAAGGAACAGAATGGAAGGCACCCAAAAGTTGAGCCAACCTTTAGACGGACTGCTTTATTCCAAGTCCTTTCACCACCCACACCCATGAGCCTGAGATGATCTTTTACAGATATCTCTGTCCTCTGATATCAGATCAGGGAGAGCGCATTTTTTACGCAGACAAAAGATCAATAGCTTATTAGTAGTCTATGTCCCACCTTTCTAGGTTGGGAAAAAAAAATTGCAATTCATCTTTCTCCAACTTCTTCTCTTCTGTTTATTTAACAGGGCCTACTTCCTTACACACCAACAACACTAAATAGCAAAAAGGCAATGAAAGTTTACATACATGACTTGATTATCCATGATGTCATCCATGCCGTCAACAGGTGAGCTAAATATTGGAGGACAGGGATCTCCGGCACAAAGGGATAGATACCCATTCATCCCACCACTGCACACACCCACCAATTAAATCAGAAAAAAACACATACAGTCTTGCAAAAAGAAAGGCTGAATTAAAAAGCAACCTACACTCTTTATTTGTGTATTATACCATCCTTCTTCCATTTCTTTCTAGTACAACATTGTACTTCTACTTCTTTTTTCATACTAAAGTATTCTACTTTGAATAATCTAACCAGTCCCAAGTTTTTTTCTTACCAGGACATTATACTTTGAAAAGTCTACTTGTGTATTGTAGCATCCTACTTTCATTTCTCTTCGTTGATGCATTTTACTTTCAAAATTTTCTTATTAAAACAAGACGTTGCCTACCCAGCTATAGCATTATACTTGTGATTTTCTTTTTCTTATTTGAAAATCATTCTTCAAATAACCTAACAAATTAGAGCAGTAAAAAACTGCTTTGTAATAGGAAGAAATGAAACCAGGATGCTATTATAAAGAAATCAATGAAAATAGGTTGCATTTATCCCAAGACAAAAGATTAAAAATGCCAACAAGTAGACAGACATTGCAATACAAACCTACCTCGCGAGTGGGTCGATTTGTTCTTTGACTTCAACTCGTTCCTTGGCGGATAACTGCTTACATCGGTCGTTTAGAGAGAATATGTATGGAGATAATGTGTGTGATAATGCCACAAAAAGCATGTCACACATCGTGCTGTTTCTCCGAGCCTCTTCCTCCTGCATATAAATCATCAAATCATTTTCCTTCAATAGATACTTTCATCAACAAAAAGAAAAAAAAGGCACCAATCGTGTCCTCATACCGTTAAAGTATGCTCAACTTTTGACACTTCTGCAAGAAGACGATCTTCATCAATGAAAGGCAACTTTGCTATTCCCTACACGTACGTAATTACCATAAGTTTGTTAATAATTTCAAATACGGACAAACCCTGTTAAAGGAAAAGGGAAAAGAAGAGAGCATAGTGGATACCTGCCATGCAAAACGCTTCCCATTCATGTCGACTTCAAAATCTGAAAACAATTACAAGAAAAAAAGAAGACAACTGTGAGGCCCTTATTACAAGTCTTAAGTGGTGGTGTGGGATACCAATAACTTCCACCATGGTTTTAGAACTGATCCAAAGGTTACTGGGATAGTCTATAACTTCAAGCTGGCATGGGGTGTTACAAAATTTATCAGCAGCAGCCCAGCCTTTCTAGGTATTGAGTTGGATGGATTTGATACTCATTCCAAGTGTGAGTAGAGACCAATTTGTTATAATTTGTCTGGCTACATGCAAGAAAGAGAAAAAGTACTTTCCTTTTTTGTGTACAATAGCTATCTCTTTGTATTACGTTTACAGCATAAAAATGGCACTTTGAAAAATCTACCCAATTATAGCATACTTTTAGTCTCTTCCTTATTAAATCATTATGCTTTAAAAGATCTACCCAACTGTAGCAGTGAAATTGGTTTTATATTTGCATGGCATTGCTATGAATATGATTGTCAAAGTAGGAAGACATGAAAGTAGAACGTTATAATTAACAACTCAATGAAAGCCT